TAAGTGATTCGCCAACCCGAGTCCCGGGGCTTAGGTTACCGATTTCCATCACTGAACAGCAACTCTTCGTGACTATGGGGTTTGCCCCGTCTGCTGTTCACCACACAAAATGTGTGTAATAAAAAGTTATTTGATCGTTCTCTTCCTGCTTGACACCACTCGTGCAATTTTTTGTCTTCTTTAGCACTCAATCATGCAAAAGGCTACGAATATAACTGTTCAGTCATCTTACGTCTCTCGAGAGCAGCGTTCAGCCGCCAATAAAACGAGGCACTTTCGTGGATGTACATTATGGCTAACCGGTGAGCTTTACGCCTATAAGTCTCCTCACTTGATTCAAAACCAAATAAACTGGTTGTAAAAACTCACAAGCTGGTTTTTAGAATGTTCTTACTACTTTTATGCAACTACCTCCTACTGAAAAAGCCAGTTTTATGAATATTATCTGTAGAGCTTTGCGCTAATACGAAATATAGCAGTATGTTGAACCCCATTTAAGTTATTTTGCTGTCTGCTCGCCCCTGCGGGGTGACGGGGTGGAGTGGGGAGGTAAGCGAAAGTTTTCTCCGGCCTTTTTATTTGACGTGTCACTTCTAGTCCAGCTCAGCAAGGTTATTCTAGACTTATCCCATGACCCGTCTCCTATGAAATGTCATCTCCGACAGATGTAATACTGTATAGGTCCTGTTCAGTTGTGAACGGCAATTGCCATATAACCCAGGTCTAGAAACGTATGCAGTATTTGGTGGAGAAGAGTGCTAACCAGACAAAGCGTACGATATCCTTGCGACGGCTTTGCTATCTTCCGGCAGGATGTTACTTCATGTCAGTTTTCATGCACCTGAATATACTCACGTCACAGGGAACTCTTGTGATCTAGATTCCTTCACGACCTGACCGCATGTGATCCAAATTTAAGATGTGATGAAATTCAAGAACGAGTAATAGTTTCTGATCCATATGTTGCTAACTGTTCTTATCTCATCGACAGCTCAGGTCGTTTGCTTACTTCTTTTTCCCTCCTGATGTTTGTCAGTTGATGCCGAATAATATTATGAACAGTGAAGCGAACCTTGTGTAGTGTGCACTCTTTGCCAGCTTGAACAGAAATCATGAGGTTTGGTGAGCCCAATGTGTCATAGTGATGATTGCAGTTGCAATAGGGAGCATTCGAACATTTTCTCATCTCTTAGTGAATACCTGCATATATTTTTTCAACTATACACACCTGCAAAGCTTTCTCTTAAAATCTGCACGCAACACTTCCACCCTCCCCCACACAATACCCCCTTTTTCCACTGTTTGTCCACCCCACTGATGTAGGTTCATGTTGTAGCTCGTCGCTATCCTCCTTGACATCTGTATCGAGGCTGACCGTTCCATTCCTCCGACTTAACTCTGCGCTCAAAATGGCTTCAGTCAACATAAGAACTCCAATGCGTATAGGACAACAAGCAGGTTTGGCTCGTACACTAGAAAGTCCAGAGATTGATGTGTGTTGCCTCTCGGAAACACGCATCCAGGATCCAAGCTCAGTGATCCAATTAATGTCTCCTTCCAACCCAAAAGAAGCGTTTCAACTGCGCGTCTCCGGGGGCCCTATCGCTTCAACGTCTGGTGAAGCAGGCGTTGGTATTGCCTTGAGCGCCAGGGTCGAGGCTCGTCCATTGGATTGGATCCCGATAGATAGCCGACTATGCCCAGTGAGACTCAGAGGCTCAAGTAAAGTCAAAAAACGGAAACCAAATGAACGATGCTTATTCGTGGTTTCTGCATACGCTCCCACAGACCGTAGCCCGGTTACTATCACAACCTACATGAGCTTCTTTTCAGAGCACCTAAGACGGATATCGTGACCCTGGTCGGAGACCTAAATGCACTCGTTGGCCGTCTGTCACCCGATGAAACCCACGTTGGCGGTCGTCATGGTCTTGATAGCTGTCGTTCAGATAATGGGGATGGACTTCTTAGTATATGCTCAGAACACAGTCTGTTCCTCGTTAGCACGGACTTCAGACATTCTAACCGTCACCTGGTGTAACACCTCTTCGGCACAGACGTGGAGTCAGATTGACCACATAGCTATTAGCCACAGGTGGAGAGGATGTGTGAAAGACTGCCGTTCGTATTGATCTACCTGCTTGGACTCCGACCACACAGTGGTTTGTGCCAAGTTGTTTATGCGTTTTGGTGGCCGCAAAAAGATGCGATGCAAACAGCTCTACGTCGTCAAGCTCTCTGACCCGGCCGTACTAGCCGATTACCAAAACGAGTTGGCCGCAAGGCTAACTACTACCTCACCAAGTAGCGCAGATCAACACTGGACAACCATTCAAAACGTAATTCATTCAACCGGTTTACACAGTTGTGGCCTAACTCGCCGAGTTGTAGATCGCTGGATCTCCTCCAACTCTCTCTCAGACTCCTCGATGCGCGTCGGGCAATCACGGCAAACCACGAGTACAACGAACAGCGCCTCTCCCTGAAGCGTGAACTCATAAAGAGTTTGAGAGACGACAGAGAGTCTTGGTGGACGCTACGTGCAAAGGAGATGTAATCAGCGGCTAAGTGTGGAAACACCCGGCAACTATTCCAGCTCATCCCTGCTGCAGGTCCCAAAAGACAGTGCGTTAGTGAAACAATCTACGAGGTAGACCGCACGCTAATAAACAGTCTTCACCGACGCTTGTAACGCTGAGCAGAGAGCTTCACATCGTAGTTCAATCAGCCCCCCTTCCCGGCGCTGGCTGCCTCAAGCAGTTCTCTTGAGAGTGCATCCTGGTCACTATCCACGGGACCGCCCACAGAAGCAGAGATCGAAAGGAACTCCAAGCCCTGAAACGCCACAAGGTGGCTGGATCAGACGGTCTGCCACCTGGCCTCTTTGAAGATGTTGGAGAAGCTCTCGTGAGAAAGCTTTTGAGACTGTTTTGGAAGATCTGAGAAACTGAAAGTGTACCCCATACATGCGGAGAGTCATTTGTCGCACCCACCTACAAGAAGGGCTGTCGCAACGCCTTTCCCACTCACGGGGGCATAAGTCTGATTCCAATAGCGCCGAAGCTGCTGGCGTCCGTTTTATTACGCAGGTTATACCCATTCCGTGAGTAGCAAATCCGCGAGGAGCAGGCCGGGTTTCATGTACGCCGTGGCTGCATAGATCAAATCTTCACCCTCCGTCAGTTACTAGAACGCCGCCACGCCTACAGACGACAAACCATTGTCGTGTTTTTAGACATCGGAGTGGCTTTCGACTCTATCGGTCGTCCCGCACCATGGAACTGTTTGCGGAGATACGTAGTACCCGAGAAGTGTGTCTCACTCCTAAAAGTGCTCTATCACCAGACCTCGGGGAAGGTTAGGGCCTATGGTGAGCTTTCACCCTCATTTCCTTTCACCAGTAGGGTGCGACAGGGTTGCTCTGTCTCTCCGTTTCTCTTCAACTTTGCCATAGACGATGTCCTACAAAACGCGTTACATAACGCAGCGAACGCTGGCGTCGAGCTTGTTTACTTCAATCAATTGTTTGTGTATGAAGTTAGCTAACTGCAGCACTAGTTCGATTGCAGTCGCAACTCGCACTACCCAGAGCCGAATTCTTTGTGAACTTTACTTTTAGGAATTTTGGGTATGACTACGTAATTCATAACAGTTCGTCATATCGTGCGATGCACAAGTCATCACGCGACATCCAAGTACAGCCTTTTGATTATAATCTGTTCGTTTTGGTGTGCAAAATCTCACATCACCTCACGTAGAACATCTCACCGCAGTGTTTCTCATCTAAAAGAGGCCGTTAGTCCGGTTCACCGTGATTTCATTTTTGGTTCTCTCTGCATCTTAATAAAGCCTCACAAGTGTAGTAAGAAAATTGTGTTGTTTAAGGCTAGCTATGCATCTTGTCCGCGACGAACAGTGACATTCGATAAGGCTGTTACGCCAGTTCTTTTTCGCTTTGACACACGTTTTGGTGAATGCTTCGAATGAAGTGAAAACATATTGGTATTTCTTGGATGATCGGAGAAAAACACCGGTTCAACGTATGCTGATTAATTCTGTTGTCTATTCAATAGATAAAGCACACTTGGTAAATCGAGAGGTTGTGTTGCTGTGGTTTACGCCTTGGAGTTTTAGCATGCAGCCTTGCAGCTTGATTAGGAATTGACTGTTGTTGATTGCTGCACCTACCTCGAGGCTTCTTGAAGAACACCAGTGTTTTGGTGATGGAAGCGAAGGAACCATGCAAATTCAATGCTCAACTGGCGTAGTTTCAAGTAAAACCTTTTTGTCATCTATCTGACTTGTAATTTAACTTGATCGTCCACGCATGATATGCCACAGTTAGGCTAGTTCTGATTTATGGTGGCTAGATCTTAAGTTGCACGATGTCAGTAACTGTCGGTTTTCCTGGATTAAAAATGGGTAAATTAGAATCAGTGAATCGGAACCACCAGGGGCTAGACATTTTGTTCCTATCTCGGCCGAATATTCCTGTTGATGAAGTTTAAATCCCCCAGTTTGGACGTATATTGCACATTTTAGCATTTGTCTCTTGTTTACACCTACCACCTCACTGTGGAGGTCTGCAGACATTTGGAGATGAGGCAGTGAAACCTTCAGAGAGTTAAACGATGGTCATCGAAGGTTCTCGCAATTTCCTTTAATTGTTTAGTGATTCAGGCAGCTGGATCGTTCGTTTGAAGATATCCTTTTTTCGCGTACCCGTCCCACACTAAACCGCATTTATATGAAGCAATTTCCAATCTGAATGGTAGTATGACGATATTCGGGGCTGTCTGGCATATTCCTGATGTTTTGATCAAATTTAGAGTGTTTGTTGGCTCGATAGTTGTCGAGTTGTGAAGCTTTGATCATATTCACTTGTTTCGATTCTCTACTTTTATGATTGCATTGTACAACTTTTTTGCAACAAATACATTTTACTTATCGCAGTTTGCTGAAGTGATTGTTCGGGATTATTTCATTTTCCGCGTAAACAGTATTCATTTTTGCATTGTACAGGTCTTAGTGGGGCCGGGAAATCCACCATTGCGTTTGCCTTGGAAAGTGCGCTCGTCTCTAGAGGCATTTCCGCCTATGTCTTGGACGGGGACAACATTCGAACGGGGTTGAACAAAGATCTCGGATTCAGTTCTGCCGACAGGGAAGAGAATATCAGACGTATCGGTGAGGTGGCAAAGCTGTTCGCGGATGCCAATAATGTGTGCATCACCAGTTTCATTAGCCCATATGCCAAGGTAAGGAGGCAGTTTGATTGTGCAATTCTGTTCTGTCGACATTTTTATTTCTTAGGTAAGCAAGTGCGGAGTCTGTTACATACGTGTGCGTACATATTTCTAGTACTCATCTTAGTATTACTAACAGTAGCTGTATTCGCTTGAACAAAATAGTAGTCGTATTGACTGATCCACAGGGTTAGGGAGTTAAATTACAAACGTTCCAACACACACACACACACACACACACACACACACCTACATACATACATACATACATCGAAGCGATATTTTCAATGCGATAGTTTTGCTGCAGCCTGCGAATGTCTGTTCCCTCTCATACGTTACTGAGTTACTTAGAACAATCCGTGTCCCGGGATACTGTTTTTCACCTGCCTGGAGCTCCCATAGTTTGTTGCCCGATTTGTCTGCTGTTGCACGCAGTCTTGGCATTATTATTATTTGTGCGACAGAAGGCCACTGTTTTACGTCTTGGTTGATTCACCGATGACATGGTGGCGTTGATTTAATTGACATTGATTTATCGGTTCTTTTTGTAAGATTTCACGGATGTTATGTTCGAACCTTCTGGGCGATTAGAACTTACACAATATGCTATTTTGAATTCCGCAATAAACCCCTTGCAACAAACGTTTGAAGACAAGCAAATATTTCCCCCAGCGCTTCAGGATTCTGTGGAACACCTGGATTTTATTTGCTGGCAGGATTGCGAATCATTTTAATCAATTGTTCGTCTTTGAACTTGTGTTTCAAACAATATTTTGTTCCCACGCAGCAGTTTTGTCGCTGCGGTGCTTGTTGTCCCATTGGATTTTTGAAGTGGATCATACTGATTGTTTTAGATCATGATAAAGCTGCGCAGTATAGTTAGCGACTGTGCACTGGTGCGAGTTTCATTTAGACACAGCTACACTGTTACGCAGCACAATACCATCCTCGCATTTGACTCACAGTTACTTATAAGCAGTGTGTGTGTGTGTGTGTGTGTGTGTGTGTGTGTTTGTGTGATAATCGATATTGACTGATTTGTCTGACTATCCTTCGGACTTCACCTTCACACGCAATCCTCAGTTCATCGATTCAACCGTACACATACCATCTGTCTGATTTGAGCTTCACATGGCTTTCCAATTCCTATGGCATTTCCTACACTATTGCCGATTTTTCTAGCTCACCGTACTGCGTTACCATTGTTCTACCGGGTCACCTATTGGTTTGAACATTTCCAGGATCGGGATGCAAACAGGCAGCTGCACGAAGAAGCTGGATTGCCGTTCTTCGAGGTCTTTGTTTCGGCTCCCCTTGAAGTGTGCGAACAGCGTGATGTTAAAGGTCTCTATAAACGTGCTCGAGCCGGTGAAATCAAAGACTTCACCGGTCTTTCCTCAGCCTATGAGGTCCCAGTGAAGCCCGATTTGGTTTTACCAACGGACAAATATTCCGTCCAGGAATCTGTTCATCATTGCATCCAAATGCTGGCTAAATCAGTAAGTTTAAATTTCCGCTATTCTTGTTGTTCATAAAGCGGTAAATAATTCCCGCAATTGAACATTCAGTTGCAAATGATGCTCCAATGATTTGACTTAAGCACTAATTACATCGAGCAATAGTAAATTATAAATTAACAGTACAATTAAAATTACAAAAAAAGTGAAAAGATGATGCGAACTGTAAGTGACGAAGACAGCACTTTTCTGTGCTCTCAATCACGCCTTGGTCTTTGTCTAGCTCCACTGGTCCGTTACTTCTCTGTCAGTCGAATGGTGCCACTGTTTGTTGCTTATGGTAATCGGCGCTCTGTGGAGTGCAAAGATTCAGTAACCGACCAATCATCATCATTCCGTAGCGCTAAATCCGTGTTCCTACGTTTTCGTTCGTTCGTTCGTTCGCTCGCTCGACATCATACTCCTGTCATTCTTTGCTACTCCTTTATGAGCTCTACGGTGCTCATCTCTGCACAGCAAACCTCGACTCTTCGAGCTGCTCATCTCACAATGGTCCGGTGCGCATTACTGTCGATGAGACGACCGCGTCCACTCCTAACGGAAATCATCTATCGGTTCGTCCCGGAGCATCTTGTTCCGTTGTGTGCGCGTTGTATTTTATCCCTAAGGCTTCTGTGCACCCAAAACCACAAAGCTTGAAAGCACCGATTTTAGGAAGGGTGGAGGGGGGGGGTTGAGGTTCAAAACTAGTTTGCTCTTCTTGGGTAATTTTTCTCTGCTAACTTTTCGCTCCTTTTCGATATCTGATTAGTTTGACCTCACCCCATCCTCCATTTACTTCTTACTCTCATCTTTTCACTCAATATTTCCTCGTCTTGGTGCTCATTTTTGTTTTAGAACATTGCACTTTTGTCCACTAGCATTGCTGTTACTGGGTGAACGGTTTTTCGTACACTCAACTTGTACTGTTTCTTACTGATGGTGGATTACTATGTACCCATGATTAGATCGCTTGAGTTCGTAAGGATTCCATTGATTTTCAGGCTTCGATGACCCGTTTTAAGCACCTTTTATTTACTCGAGTTATCTTATGGTTTAGAATTCATCATGTCTAATTCACAAAGCCAAAGCTCGTTTATTCCCATCCGATTGTTAATAGGCTGGGTTCAGATGGTAGTATAAATTAAAAAAAATTAGCATCCACATTCGTTTACTGGTGTCACACAACAAGTGTTTCAATACTGGAACGTGAACGAAACGATGATTCGAGTACAAACAATTTGAGATAGAAGAGAGTTTTAAAAGTGACACTTATTCGGACGTCAAAAAGTTACGGTGACGATCTAGTCAACTCTACTGAAGCACCAGTTTTAGTTTTGTGAGGTACTACTCACATGGTGGGTAGTTTGCAACCACAAGGCGACGGTTATTGACTTCCCACGGAATCCGCGAGTGGATTAAAGGATTTACTGTTGCGACTGCAGAAGAGACAAACAAACTCTCAGGCTGGCGATCACCGAAAATACTAGTCAATTGTTGCAAATTAGATATTTCTTTCTGTGCAACCTCATTTATCCCTGTTCGATGCTGTTGTTCAGATTAACTCTCCTCGTCGCGGCGCTGCCTTATGGATATATAACATTAACAGATGTCCTCTGGGATGATCGTTTGTGGATAGTGGTAGTAAACTACTGCACTAATGGGTATCCTAATACAACGATCATATTCCTCTGAAATCGTTGATGCTGAGGTAAGTGTAGTCTTAGTTTTTCGATCCTTTTAGCATAAGTCCTAGGAGTGCTGTCCTTGAAACGCTCTGGCTGCCATTCTCTGCAGACATTCAAACACTTTTCATCATGATTTATCTATGAATTCCAAACTTGGATGGCTTACTCGGTGTGTGGTTGAATGCATATTGACATCAAACGGAGATCAAGCTTGTTTTAAATGGTCCCGATGTACGGTTGGGTGATCCCATTTTCTTCAGGGGCATCGATGAAGCTCTAGCACAATGTATGTAGCACGCATACTGGCTATTCACGCTACCCGAATGGCTCGGTGATACAATCTTACAATTTGTTAAGTTAAATTTTTTGTTACTTATGATAGCGAATCGGTAAGTTGCGCCAGGTTTTTCCTATGGTGCTAAAAAGTCCGTAGAACGTTTCACTCTTCTCCAGTCTTTGCTGTTGTCGGAAAGCAGTTCAGTGTGTCCCCGAACCATCACTAATGACGTTTTTTAAGTTCTAGGGGAAGGTAAGGACTAATTCACGGGTCCCTGTGGAACGGCACAGATAGCATCGGTCGGTATTGACTGTGAATCACTAACTGAAGCTGACGTAGTACATTGCCGTGAGCCAAATGTCAGTGATGACTCATTTCTATATCAACATTTCACTACAGTTATTTAAAAAAAGTATTTTTCTCGTTTACGATATATTATAGTACAGTTTTAATGCTTTCTTATTTCCCTTTTGATTGAATTTGCTATAGAAGGACAATAGTAACCTCTAGTTCCAACACAAATGGTCGCAAAATCTGCAACGGGATCTGGTGTTACCCATTAACATTTCATTCATACAGCTTACGGCGGAGATTGGTTGTTATATGGTCTGAACAGATTTTCCCAACTTGGTCGGTGTAGCTTTATTTCTGTGGTGTGATTTTATTTTTCCTGTCTGCGCATTTGCGACCACAATTATCGTTTTTTCCCTGTGTGACCACTATTGGGTTCAACCTTTTCTTCATGCGAGGTAAATACAGTTAGCGTTCTTGAATAGGGAAACGAAAAATACAGGTTTCGCACAATGTATCCTGGGTTATTTCGCTGAGTACTGCAGTTTATGTGATCATTAATATATGGTCAGTACCAAGGTAGCGCCATAGCGATAAGCCATTCACGTTGTTTACACAGTTGGAGATGGTAATACTGAGAGACTAATACCTCGACGTATTTCAGAACCTTGTTTTTTGTTTTTTAGAGGGTCCTGAACGCGTCGCGCAGCATGACACAGTGTTCCATTTCAACCAGGTGTTGTGTGATCGACGAACTGAGTTTCCTACAGGCCATCAGTGACGTCATACTTCCAAAGTTCCCACTCATCGTTTTCTGAATCCAGACCGGATGTTCTCAGTTACTCGGTAACTCAGTTTTCTATCCTTTCTGCCGATGCAGATGACCGAGCATCCACACTTGAACTGATAGATCCAACTAGATTTGACGTGGAGAGACGGGTTCTTTCACCGAGGGTGTTGACAACCGGGCGGTTGTAAAAATAACGATAGGATCAGCTGCGTAGTGGGTGCGCCTGAATGCCGATTCTAAGTGTTTGGTAATCAGCCAACTGATATCGTTACCCTTGAAGGTCAGTTGCAGGACCACTCTCATCATCTTATCTACACCTGGTGTCTTTTCCCGTGTACAGTTGAGTTGGGAATGCTTCAAGAATAACCCTTTCGGATATCCGTTAGATTGTAAAATTTTTCTAAGCTTGTCACATTCGTTGTCCTGGGTATCTGCTGTGAAAATGTGTCACGCTCCGTAGAAGAGCATTCAAATCTGATCAATCTTATATTTCATGGGAGCAAAGCTAGTAAAATGGAGATATTGTTCAGACCGTTTATCCTTTCGGTACACAGATCTTCTGATTGATCCATCCGTTGGACGTGAGGCATCCAGAAAGGCGATACTTTCTTGCGTTTCGCTGTAGTATGTTAACGTTATCTTCGGGTTAAGAGTATTCAAGCGTTCAAATAATCTCTCCCCGTCTTCTTTAGCGTTCTGTTCCACAGCAGCGGACGCTTTTTACCACGCACGTAGTACTTATCCTTAACTCTTGCACCAGAACAATATTTTTGCATTGGCAATTTCATTTTTCAGTTCGAAACCTATCGTCAATCTTCCTTCCAAAGTATTGCTCGTATCTGTGATTTCGTTCGTTGGAACGTTTCCAGTTTTCCTGTCTTGTATGCACACTGGAATGGTCAGTAAGCATTTTTGTCCGTATTTATCCCGGTACACAGTTGCCCAAGGTCAGGCGAATCGTTGGTCACCGAAATGAAACATCTAATGACAGGCGTAGACAAAATGCTTTAAGTGGACGCAAATGTTGATCTTTCATCCTGGTTCACTCAAAGGAGTAACAACTCACTAACCCATTTTCATAGTGCTGTACTTGTTTGGCCAATTAATGAGGCACTGAAAACGAGCTTGTTTGCCACTGCTTACTGATGTAATCGCATGATAGTCTTTCGTTGTACGCGAAGGAAAAGAAATGCAAACTGAAAATCTGGACATCATGGTACAGCTGTTTCGATTTCTTTCGGTCTCATCAGTCTACCAAATCCGTGGCCACAAACGGGGTTTCGCGAACTCAAGACATCAGCGCCGAGAGAAGACAAACTCCAACCCACCTGGCAACTGCTCAGACCGTTTATCATTTTGTCCATACGCGACATAGCGCAGTACATGATTTTCAGACTTTGGACCGACATCCCACCTGGATTTTCTTAACCTTTAGGGTCATGCCTTAGTTGGAAAACATTCTTACTCTGGATTGGGGAGCATACGTGTGTATAGTCGACACATCTTGGAAAGTTTTTTTCTCTCCCCTAGATGGTGTTACTCTGGTTTTACCGAATTTTATCCGATTTTATTGCCGAATTTTATCTTGCCCTCAACGGAACTAATTTTGTTTCATCACGAAGAAAGTGTACGTATTTATTTCGCATTTGTAAGGGTGATATTCATGGTGAATTTTGTGAAAGTCATCGAAGTAGATGATCCATGCGAAGCTGTTTGCACACCGCGTGTGACCATTCTTTTGAAAAATCCCTCTTTGGCAACCAGTTCGGCGCATTCGCTTATTTTTAAATTATGAACGAATAAATCAAGAAAATAAGTGAACCAGTGTGTCAATGAAAGCCGCTTCTCATATATGTTGTGATGAACTGTAATTCCAACACCCCCGGTTTTCACAGAATATCATTCCAAACATCCACGAGGTTAATCCCTTTGGTGGTCCAATGCCACGGGAGTTGTTTATTCACGATCCTGCACGCAGGGAGGTCATTCTGAAGGAGGCCGAAACACTTCCGCAACTAGCCCTAACGCGTTTGGATACAGAGTGGCTCCAGACGTTGGCCGAAGGTTGGGCCACTCCGTTGGGCGGTTTTATGCGAGAGACGGAATACTTACAGGTGCTCTACTTTGGTCGACTCATCACGGAAGGTGAGCTGGGCAGCGTGGATTGTCGCGAACCGTAGCATCACCACTGGGAAAACTGGCCGAAATCCTTGGAGCGCTTGTGTGTACTGCCTCCATTGAATGAATTGTCAGGTGTTAATTTCCTTCGTAACGCAGCCTATGTTTGGTGTTTGTTTTTCCCACAGTCTCACACAGGTCTAACATTCCAGTGGTAATGATGGCTTTTACTTCCCTTTAATGTATTCCAATACAATTGTGCAGTTTTTTTCTCAGGAATGGGGTTTTAATGGGTCAAATCAAAATTGTCTGGATGTAGATGAAAATAGAAAAACTGAGCATATCTTACGTGATCAAAACACAGTCCTCTGGCCGTTTGGCTGGTAACCTTGGTTTATTGACCGCTCCATAGAATACTGCTTCTTTTTCCGATCAGTTATGAGCCACTTGCATAGGTTGCGTTATCCAGCAAATATTCCGGCCCTTCAGTTTGTTTTTAGCTGTATCATTGATGGTTAGTTCTCGGAATATATTATACTTGATGGAACTGAATATCCATAAACCATGGGCCAGATTCTGACAAGGTTCATCTTGCGTTTTGTACTCGAGCGAATCACGTCACGCTTGTCATCTCGACCGATGATCATAGTGTTCTTTGGCGCAAAAAGTGTTTGATTCAGTTGATCTCGAGGTTTTCTTCGGTTCCTTTTCATACAGAGTAATGTGTCACAAAATTTAATATCCTATTGAGGCCACTGTACTCTCTTACTTCAAGTCGATTAAGGTCCACGGCAAACCAAGCAATCAACGTGAACGTTAGTGTTCATCAAGTGTTTGTTCTCTGCCATGTCCTTTGCAGTTCATCGTAGCCTCAGTGATGGGGACCACTCAACGGGGCCTCAAAAATATTGACTCTGAGTGGCCTTTTGACGGAAGTACGCTGTCCATGTGGACTATGCGCAGGATGTGTAGAGCGCACTTGACAGTCTAATAAGCATTGTTACTGTTTTCGGTGCGGTGTATCACAGGCTAAGCAAATGGCCGTCTTCTTTTTGGTTGAATATGGTGGATAATTCATTATCACACCGAATTCACTGATCTGGACGTGTATTGCTCATACCTAGCTGTCTTCTGCCGAAGCGCGCCTATTTGACAGTTACCGCTTCACAATAGAGAAGATCTCGAAGGTCAGTAGACTATACGAAGACGAGGTGGGACAAACTGTTTGGGGGCGGGGTGGGCAATTTGGCTTCTCTTCTTCCAAGCCGGGGTTCCGAAATGCTCTGTAACACGTTAACCAGCAGCACTACAGGACATGGTAACAAACTGTCAGCAATGATGTTCGTGCTACTTCTGATCAGTTCAGAGCTTGCGGTGTGGGTGTGCGCACACAGCTACCTAGGGTTATATATATATATTTCACACTTGTCTGAGGACAGACTGTGTGCCAAACAAATCATGGTACAATAATCTTTATAAAAGAAAAATGTTCCATGATTGGCTTGTGAGCTGAGTACTGCCAGGTTGCCCAAGCCAAGGCAGGTGAATTTTCTTGAGGAATCCACAACCGGAGCCTTCGGCTAGCCAAAGCCTGACTCGCAAGGCAGCGGGGCGGTGTGCGAAAACCGCAGTCCATTGGGGGCCGGTGTCCAGTTCATCGGATCATACGCCCTTCGGACGGGGTCAGACGTCCAAGGTGCCCAATACACCTCAATACCCAATCGAGCCGGTGACCACTGCCACAACCGAAAGGTATGGGTGTGGTTCGTACGCCTCTTCATGGTTGGTTTTGAATCAGAGTTTTTGGCCAACTCCCCTAGGTAAACTGCCAGTGGTCCACCAACCCGGATATCGGCTTTTCGTCCTCTCACTTTGGTGGGAAAACACCTCCACCGGCGAGAAGGCAGTGAGTAGGGCTTCCTCAGCAGAGGCTATTTGAGACGCTTGGTCGTATGGGGGCATTTCGTGAGGTACAAGGGCAAGGTGACCAGCCGCAACCCTAGACACCCACCCCCAACCACACTGAGGCCTTGGGAGGCTACTACTACTACTACCTTCTACTCCCTATCCGCATTATTTATCTGTAATACTCTGTGTTCATTTTGAGGTTGGCAGCAACAGCGAAGCTTACTTTACCGGAAGATATTAACGATGGCTCCTTGCGGTGGTCAACGGGGGCTAGTCATTAATCACAAATTCAAAAATTGAACATGATTGTTCCTCGTGCCTTGAACAATTTTACCGTTCATTGTTTTCGCTGTGTTATGACTCACTTCGACACGTTTTCTATGAAGCCCAAATTAATTTGATATTGTACGTCTTAGGGATCGGGTTACTGATTTCCGCAACTGAACGCTTGGTTCTTGTGATCATGGATGTCTTCCCTTGAACCGCTCGTTATAATAAGCCATTTCATCGAAAATGTTCATCCTGAG